TCAACCGGTTCGCGGGGACCGCCGCGAACCGGTTGAAACCCACCCCTGATGCTACTGTTTGGCAAGATTTTGCGTGTTCAATAGGCCAGTCGGTCCACTCCCTTTCAGTGAAGAATGAAAGAGACACCCTAGAAAGCATTTTTTTAGCACAAGAGAAAGAGAGAAAACATATGCAAATGTTTCCTTGAATTGGTAGAAAATAGGAAGTGGAGCATCTTTTTTGATAACCCCATAGATTTGGAGTGGTCAGGTTTCCAGGTCAAGGTAAGGTTTTCCATCAAATGTGTGGCCTGCTTTAGTGCCTCTGTACCATCCTCTGTCCTTGTCTTGTGCCTAGGGACCCGAGATCACTTTTAAAAGGTGGTTTCCCTGGGAAACAGACAGTCCTTTACCAAACTGTTAGGAACACAAACGTATGAAACTTTCCTTTTTCAAGGTCAACGACATGCATCTTTTCACAATTTATCCCTTCCCATCGGGCCCGTTCTGTGATTCAGATAACGTGTTTTGCAATCAACATGCTGTTGCTACTAAATTCAAGATTAATTTATACCAAGCACACCGTAAAACAAGCATTGCTTGCTCAGTTTGGGAAACAACACAACAGGTAGTGGATTGGGAGCATTTGCATTTGGGGGGGGGGATGTGCATTTTGCCAAGCACTGATAAATGGTGCTGTCGGGAATTGCCTCATTCCAAAGCCACTTAATGTCTACCGTGTATTGCTAATATTTTTACACGATCCCTCTTTTACCTGGCTTAACTAGTTTTGCAATTTGAATAATAAAGCTCAGAACGTCAGGCACTCTGCTGCTACATGGGCTGTGTTAAAAGGTTTAAAGATCTCGCAATAAAACACATCTGCAATGGTTCAACCTATTTTAAGTTCAGTCAAGTATTCACTGACTCCCAAATATTACTCAAAGGCCAAGAACAGCGATGGATAAAATCTTTGTTTTTAAATTCAGACTTAGCAGTAAGATATTCTTTGTAATCTGATGGGGAAAATCATTTATTTGGTTCCACCACAAAACCGCGGTAGATAAAAGCGCGGTCGACGAAAGCGCGTATGTGACGTCATCACAGC